TCCCAAATTTTGAGTTCGTTAGTGCAACGGATCTTGCTATTTGAGAGGAGTTCGTTTTATCTCCCTTTTTTTTATTTTTAAAGTTAGTTATTCAATTTTTGTCAGAATTTGTACTCCTGAGATTTTAGTATGCTTCATTTGACTACAGACAGGTTTTTTGTGTTTTATGTTGACAGATTAGTTAGTATAGTTTGGATTATATTTTTTTTTATATTAGATTATTAGTTCAATTAAATTTTGTATTTCTGTTAGACTTGTGGGTTTGGGATTTATTTTGACCCTAGCACCGGTTACATATCCGATTTCGAGGTCGTGACAAAATTGGTATCGGAGCTATAGGTTTTCTATGGTTGATGGCGTAATCGTTCATCTATAGAATTCCGATTATAATTATGAGTCGGCCACTCTTATAATTGACATGCTATAAAAAGGCGAGTAGGAGTTTCTTGCTTTCTGAATTCAATTGTTAATCTAATCTGATCTTACCTTTGTCCTTACTCTTGTTGTGTGTTATTTGAAATCTTTTGATAGATGGATCATTTGTACGAAAATTATGACCAGGAACTCAATATCAAGAACTCAGTAACTCCCGAGATGCCACGAGACAGGTCACCCTTTCCTGAGATATGATCGGACAGACAACCTTCCATACTAGCATGAGGTGGAGGATAGAATGGAAACAGGGGCAGAGGGAGAGGTCACAGTAGGACAGCTAGCCGAGATAAACCGACAGAGCTGAGGAGATTACTTGACCTACCGGTACTTCAGACAGATTGATTAAAGTCCTACTTGGTATTCAAGAGACATAGCCAACCATGATTACCTTGATGGAGAAGATATTGGACCAGGGGAAGATTAGGACTCCGATGAATATGGGTTCGAGAGTACTAGAGGTCGGTATAGGTGGCCAGCCTAGCTCAATTCAAAGGACTCGAGAGATTTTTTTAGAGATTGGACAGGAGTCAATTCAGAAGAAATAGAAGGTCCAGGTTGATACAGTTGTGGTATAGGCAATCTCAGAGTGAGATCAGCGTGAGGCTGGACTCGAGACCCAGGTCTAGGATTTCCTCAAATTTAAGCGACCTACCTTTTTTAGAAGGGGGTCTACCAAGGATCTACAACACTTTATAGATTCAATGGAGATCATATTTGAAGTGATGAGATGTTCCAGTCCAAGGCGCGTGGAGTTAGCTTCATGCAAACTATGTGATTTGGCTTAATCTTGTTATAAGACCACATTAATTGGGAGGCCCAAAAAAGTAACACTAATGACTTGGAAAGAATTTGTTAGTGCATTCATGAATAGATTTCTATCAGCAAGTAAGATGGATTAGCTAGAAACACAGTTCGAGTGCCTCAGATAGACACCTAACATGATAGTGTCAAATTATATACTCTTCACTTGGTAGGAAATGAGAATATGAAGGCCAAAAGATTTATTAGAGGGTTGATAGCACCCTTGTTTTGAGCTTTGGTTTCACAAATGGGGAAGTACTCTTATGCTAAGGCAGTGGATACTGCCCAAGTGATCGAGACTAGAGAGTTTGAACATAGAGTAGTAAAAGACACTACGAAGAATGCTAGTATGGGTTCTGGCACAAAAATCTAGAATTTTATTTGATTCCTTAGTTAGAAAATTGCATTTATTTGACTTTTGGATACATTAGAGGCATAAATTAAGATATTTTATTATTTTAGATTGTTCATACAGTACTTGTTGAGTCTATGTTGTCAGAGATTGGATTTATTGGTTCTATTATTGTGTGAGTAATAATGTGTATATATGAGCATTTACTATTTTTCATATCTGTAATAAACTTTGTTTTTATATAATTATCAATTTTCTAAAAATTTGATTTAAATTATGTTAAAAAGTATAACAAGGGACTTGCATGTAATTTCTGAAATTTTTTGGAGAAACTATATGTTACTTATATTTGATTCAATTTATATATGTAAATAGAAAGATTCTGTTAAACTATTCTATTATTTCTAGAAAAATATTTTATGGGAGTTTCGAAATTTAGAACATTGTAACTAACAGCAGTAAGCATTAGCCTCGATACCTTCACTTGCATATTTGTATACCGGCAAACTAAGGTGTTGGCGTTCTGTTATCCAGTAGACTAGGTGTCACTGTTCTGTTATTCGGCAAACTAAGTGTCGTCGTTCCATTCTTCAGCAGATTGTGAGTCGCCATTTTGATTTTTGTATATTGTGACGTTTTGGATTTTGAACTCCCTAACTTATAGAAAATGTTTGTTAAAAATCTGTTTTGAGTAAATTACATGTTATATTTGTATACGTGTCCTTTGTTCTTATAAATATATGTTATTATTCAAGGGATTTGCAAACTCACCTATAGTTTTCTTTTTAGATTCTCAGTTCGTTAGTCAAATGGATCCAATTATCTGAGAGGAGTCCGTATTATCTGCTGTTTTTCATTTTTAGATTTTAAAAGTTAGTTATTCAGTTTTTGTTAGATTTTGTATTACCAGGATTTTAATATGCTCTATTTGACTACAGATAAGTTTTTTGTATTTTATATTGATAGAACAGTTAGTATAGTTTGAATTATGTTTCGTTTTATATCGATTATCAGTTTATTTAAATTTCGTATTTTTGTTAGACTTGTGGGGTTGAGATTTATTTTAACCCTAGTGCTGGTCATGTATCCGATTTCTGAGTTGTGATAGTAAGTATATTTTCTTGACTCAAGCTCGACTTGTACTAAACTCATGAGCAATTCGTCTTAACTTATTAGCTCACATATATTAATAATTTTAAAAATTAATAATTTATCTATCTCATTTAAATAACATTAATAAATAATATTTTTATCCATAACTTAAATTAATGTCAAAATAAAAAGAGCTTTATCTATAAAAAGCTTCGAAATAACCTTCCACATATGAGAAAATATTATGTTATGATTCTAATTTCTAATTAGTTTGTGTTTTATTATTCTATTTGTTTTTTGATGACATTTTTGTGCTACATTCTCTTCTAAGAAATATAAAATCCTTATGAAAGTAATAATTTAACTTCACCAAATTGGTTATTTAATGAGAAATTATTTTAATTTTATTATTATATAATTTTTCCTGAAAAAAAAAATAAAGACAATTAACTTTTATATTCAACATTTTAAAAAATTAAAAATATGTGTTTTTATTTTAAGAAAAGTAATTTATTTAAGAATTAAAAAAATAATCTGTTTCTAGCATAAGTAAATTAGGAGTAGCAAGAATCTTAAGTAATGAATGTAGAATATTTATATATATGTGTGTGTGTGTATGTATATTGAGTCGATTTATAAATCAAATGAGTTAAAAAAAAATTTTAACTCAAATTTGACTTATATTTTTTATAAATAAAAAATTCTAATTCATATATTGCTAATTTAAATTATGAACCTAACTCATTAAACTAATTATCAGATTAAACCGCAGGTTGCTCACAAACTAACCCGACCCAAACCCACTCCTACTTATAAATCTTAAAGCAAAATCGGGTGAGTGTTTTTGGGTTACCGGGTCCCGTTAGGCCCCATTTTTTAAATTTTTGCATCATAAAACATGGTTTACAATTGCCATGACTTGGTTGATTGGCATTGGCTGGCGGAATCAAGAGCCAATAGCAAAGAACAATTTTTAGTCATTATTATTTTTACTTATTAGGCGTATTACTACAAATTACTGTAAATTAATAATCATTAATACTTATATTCAGAATAATACACTACTTATTGCTAGGCGTTTTTCACTTTGTTAAAATTTGATCTTTTGTATTGTTGTTGAGTTTATTTGTGAGAGTTATTATTTAAAAAAAAAATATATATATATGTAAATTAAATTTTTAAAAGAAATGGGACTAACCAAACATGGCAAAAATTTTATATTTCCGTGTAATAATATTTTAAGAAAAAGACTTGGCTGCTTCATTTGGCAAGAGCCAAGCCCTGCTACCATACTGGTATGCTGCCATCTGTAACACTGACAAGGAAAAATGGTCTTCTTTGTTTTGCTTTTTTCTCTTTTTTTTGGTTCAATTTATTAATGTTATTTTTTACGTTAATTTTTTGTGAATCATTTTTCATAATTTTCTTCATTTAAAATAATAGTTTGATATTACAACTATTCCTAAACTAAAACAAAATCCTTTTACCGAGGATTTGAATTAATATTATATTAAAAAACTATTTAAACTAAATAAAAATTGATACTATCAAAGTATCAAAAAATTATGTTTTTTTTATACTAATTAGCAAAAATAAAACAATATAGAAATGTTAAACAATAATATCTAATATCAAATACAAAAAAAAATAATATCTGATTATATGCAATTATTTGTGAACTCATAAGTTGAAAATATAATACGTAAAAGAATTTTTAAGAAAATCTTTTCATTAAAATTATCATCTTCCTTGCTAGTTGGTATTTAAAATTTAAAATTTAATTTTTTCTACAATAAGTGAAAGAAAAAATTAATTACATTAATTCACTATTAAATATTGTAGAATATAAAAAATTACCCTAATAAACAAGTAGTGTTCAATAGTTGGTGATTTTTAACACAAGTAAATAAGCACAAAAAAGGATCATTAAAGATGACGACATAATATATAAAGATAATTATACTATTCTGAATAAAAAATAGTGTCAGTCAGATTATAAAATAAATAAAATTATATACAATAAAAATAAGAAAAACGACAAAATGGCCACAGATGGCAGCAAAAGTTGCAGCAGCCAAGCAGGACTTGGCAGCGGCCAAGTTTTGTCCATATTATAATTCAGCAGCGTGTTACAGTAATATAATAACAAGCTTGGTCAACACGTCTCTTTTGACTAAATACAAACACCTTGTGCCCCAAGTTTTCCAAATCATCTTCAAACTAAGATCCAATTCCTGTATAAAAGGAGACGTCCACCACCCACATTCCTTCCATCCCCCAATCAATCATTTTCCCATTAGACCCCCAGACACCGAGAAGGATGAATAGAGAGGGGCGCCGGCGCGGCACGGTCCAGAGCTACTGTAGCCTGCCGTCGCCTCGGAAGCCCAGACCTGGCTTCAGAATCGTCAACCGGTTCGACTCGCCACCGAGCGCCTCTTTGTTCATCAAGGTTTCCCCTAAACCCACCAACCACTCCAAGTTCACGGGTAAGTGCGCTCGGCCCAAGTGGTCAAAGTGCCATACTAACCCAGCTACCAAGTCCAAGGCCAAGGCCAAGGGAACCCAGAAGATGCGCTTAAGCGACGCCGGTTCGAGTTATAGCCTGATGCCTTGGCGAGCCGTGGGTCTAAGGCCCGTGTCGAAGTTCGCCGGCTTTTCGGCCACTGCAATTTTGGATCAATTAGACAGTGATTATGACGGGGAGGGTGATTGTGTGGATGAGATCCACGAGGAGTAATACGATTTAGTAAATGAGGTGTTTGTTTAAGGTCGAGATCGAACATCGAGGGACAACGCCGATGACGGTGGCAACGAGGACGACGAAGAAAATGAGAAGATGAACTTTGGTGACGTGGCAGTTGGCAACGTAGATCTTCTGTTATTGGCCACATTGTGCTCATTAATTGTACCATTTGCATCAGTGAAACCCCATTGGCTATGGTGGGTGTGACTCCATATGCCATCAAAAATATAGAATTATACATTTCGTCTTTTAATTAGGCATTTTTAATTAAATAATATTCAACATTTAATGAAAATACATGAATAATATGCAAATAAAATTCATGTATTATTAAGAAAAAAGTCTGGAAATAGAACTCTTTTTGTATTTATTGTTATACAAAATATGAACGGATGAGATCTTAGACCTTACAGGATTAAAAAGCATGGGTATTGAAAGTGATTATTTAATGGGTAGGTAAAAAGGCAAATAAAATTTTTCCCCTGCCCATTCCGTTTCTCTTTCCAAAATTGGGAATTTGTTTATCCCAGCCTTTCTCTATCCGAACCCAGTTGGAATTTCTAAATAATTAATATTTTGACTAAGGAAACGTACAGGGGATCTTAGAATTTACATTTAAATTGATTACCCAAACAATCCAGTGGTTTAATTCACAATTAATTTGTGTTTGTGTTTTGGACTTCTAAGATTTGTCATTTTCTTCCAAACAAAAATCATTTTATCCCCACAACTTTCTTTCCTGTCTTAATTATTCCCTAAACTTTATGATATATTATTTATCTCCTAAATAATAATATTGTTAGCTTATTGTTATATTTTAAATACTACTATTAGAATATTTAATTGTTAAAATTTTAAAACTTAAGTTAATATATTAAATAAATTGTGTTATTGGAACACACCAAATCTTTGTTAGGATAAACTCTGTTTAAAATACAAAATCTCGATACTCAAGCTCACTTTCGTATGTATATTCTCCACCAACAAGAGTTCATAACAATAATAAAGTGCTAAAATTGATCCGTTGGCCCCTATTAAACATCGTATATTGACAGTTTTAATGTTTCAAAAGAGTAAAGGAAGAAAAGGGTAAAATTCACCCCTAAATTTTCTTCTTTATTTTATTTACCCTTTTAAACTTTATAATTTACCATTTACTTTTTAAGACACTAATACCATTAATCTGCTATTATATTTGTCTTTTAAATTTTACAATTTTAAATACTAAATATTTTAAATATTACTATTAAAATAGTTAATTATTAAAATTTTAAAATTTTAAATTATTATGTTATAATAAATAGTAAAATTATTAATTATATTTAATTTTGGATATTAAATTAAAATATGATTAATTTTACAAAATCAATTTAGACTTTTTACACAATCTAACTAAATAAAAAATTACCAATTATAAATAAATAATTTGAATTTTGTATAAATGTTCAAAACCGTAATTGAAACTTAACTAAACACAAATTGTTTATTCACAATTTATACTAAATTAAATTATTTATTCATAATTGACAACTTTTTATTTAGTTAAGTTGTGTAAATGGTTTAAATTAATTTTGTAAAATTTAGTTATGTTTTATTAAATTTAGAAATGTCAAAAAAAAGTGTGGGTCAAGTTTTCCTGTGTTAATTTTTATTTATTTGATTTATAGTTTTATTTTTTAAAAAAATTCAACTATGATCAACTGATTTTTACTATACTAGTGGTTTTAAGATTTGCTAGCTTAGTATCAATATCACTATTTTTTAATACACCAAAAATCGATAATCTAATTATGAAACATCAAGAAACTTAGATATGCCAACGCAAAAATCAAAAATTAACTAAAATTTTCTTTTTATTTTGTTTTTTTTTAATGATAAGGGATTATGATAATGTAGATAAATTATAACAAATATGGCAGGTTAATTACAAGAGTAAATCCTAACAAAGAGGCAGAGAATACGGATAGGATTAATTTGGCATTACAAAGAAAAAGAAAAAAGGAAACACATGAATAGTTCAATTCGTTGTGATTTGAAATTCTTATCCCGAGAAGAAAAGGGAAAAGTTTAATGTTTACGGGAATGGAAACTAACCAAAACAACCTCCCGGCTAGTGCGAGCGAAAGTTATCAATTCTTAATCCTATCATCTTCCCTTCTCCTCCCTCTATTTGTTCTCCCAAGCCTTTGTTCTCTGATAAACTCAAAAGCCCTTCTCCCGTCTCACAAAAAAATAAAGAAAAAAAACTTTCTTCTCTCTTCTCTCTCCTCTCATCATTGTTATCTGTTTTTGTCTTCTGTGATCAACTGTGCTTCAATGGCGGACTCTAAGTTCGTGCTGGTTATGGTGGGTTGGTGATGTGTGCGAGTCTGACGTTTAATAGTGGCGTTGAAGCGTTGCCCCAGGTTTACGAGGATTTGATGCGTGTTCCTCATCCGAGGTGAAGCCACTTCACCGAACTGGGTTTCACTTCCAACCCAAAAAAGAACTGGATCAATGGTATGTGTATCATGCATATATACAATAACTAACGTCTGATAATTCTTGTTTTTATATGATGTTGGTGTTTACACTTTCAAATTATTAATATTTCAAAATTACTTTCAATGATTTAACGTGATTTAATTTTGGATTTTCATTCCGCATATGAATTATTTCTAAGCAGGAAAAAGAACAAATTGCCGAGGAATGTATATACATGTATTTTCAATCGGTTTTTTCTATTTAATTTTAAAAATCGAATCTCAGAAGGAGGAAAATAGTGGAATAATTATAGTAATTAATTATTTATGATGCATGAAATATGAAACACACACACACACATAATATATGATGAAAAAGTATAAATGTTATTTTAAAATTCCTTTTTTTAATTAATCAATACCACAAGAAATACGCAAATTACCGACACAAAAAAAGGTTTAGTAAGACAGAAATTTGCGTCGATAATGACGTTATCGACGAAAAAAAACCGATGCAAAAGCATTCGTTGGAAAAATGGTCATCACAAAAATTTACCGAAGCAAATTTTTTGCATCGAAAATTTCCGAGGTGGTACACAATGGAAATTTCCAATGCAAATTTGCATCAGAAATTTTCGACGCATCATTGCATCGGAATATTCCTTCGGAAATTAAAATTACAATCCGACATCTGTTCCGACACAAAACTTGCACCCGAAAATTCAGTTATTTATTATTCTTAATTATTAATTATTAAATTGTTTTTATTTTTATTAAATTATTAAATTGTTTTTTATTATTAATTATTAAATTATTTTTTATTATATTAATTATTACATTTTTATTATTAATTTTAAAATTTTTGAAATATATATTTTATAATAATTTATTTAAGACATTTACATAAAACTGAAATAACATGTGTATAAATAATATTCAAATATCTTATTACAAACATAAAATAAAATAGTGTGTCACTAAACATATATATGAAACAAAATCTCAAAAAAGAAAAATCACTCCTGACAGTCGCCATCGCCCGACTAAGATGCAGAAGAGTCAGAATCGTGAGCAGGCGCTGGAGGGCATGATTAATTAGGTGGTGTGCTCCTCATCCCTTCAACCATCTTATACAGATGATGAAAGTTAAGCTCTATACTCCCACCTTCTCTCAAAGCTCTTAATTCTCCTAATGAATAGTTTGCACCTCCGATCTCACAGACTGATCTGCACTGTCAGATGGAGGATAGTGGACTGACTGAGAAGAACTCTATCGTCCAAGACCATATACATGGTCGAATGCTCTCCCCCCAGTGCACTTCTCCCACAGCTCAGTGTCTGCTATTTGCTAAGACTATAGGGTAGACATCTCCAGTCGAGACAACTGAGAAGCAGCCAGATGTATATAAATAAAACCTAAATACAAAATATAATAATTAATATCAATTATAAAATAAATAATATTAAATATTTAATTATAAAAAGTTAATAAATAATATAAATATGCTACATAAAATTTAATAAAGATGTTAAATAAAATTTACTTACATAAGTCTTCTCCGATCACTGATCCACCCACATCCTCACCATCTTTCTTCCTAACATGTGTATGCTTAAAAATCTAAAAAAAATGGGAGTCTTCCTAGTCTCTTTTTCCTTGCAATACCTAATAAAAATTTTGTAATTATTTATAACTATTAGATAATAATAAAACTTATGTACAGGAATAAAACTTACCATCCTCATAGTATGCTCGTGTGGAGGAATAGAGTCTCCTGTGTGGAGAGAACCGCATTTTTCCAAACGGCGATTCCCTTTATTCTGGGAGCTTATCTTACTAAACTTCTTTCCTTTCCAATAAGTCTGAATTTCCTCCCACACAGAAGGCGGGATCTAGTCTAGTCGCCTATAATCTGGGCATCTCGAAGAATATCAGAAATCCTATGAGATTTATGAGTACTGAATATCCGTCTAATGGTTGGCTAATCTCGTGGATCCCATGTACAATATTTCTGCATAAAGACAGAAATAAACAGTTAATAAAATATCAATTAATAGTACAGATAAAAAAATATTTAACTATGGCTACATTGAAATACGAACCCGAAACTCATCAAACCACAAATGATAAGGAACTGTCCTCCATTTGGGATAACACAATGTGAACTTCAACCCAATGATCACTGTGATGGCATGAGCAACAGCTGTCGAATGATGAAATCTGTAGCAATAAAAATTATAAAGTTAATACTAATATTTGATGCATTAAGAAATATTTATTAAAATTTTTTGAATAATAAATATTTAATACTTACCAGACGTTACCAACGGGCCTGATCAGCGTATTCCCAAAATTATTACAACATGTGCCAGATGATCCAACTCGAGCAGGATTAGACGGAGAAGAATCTAGTATGGGGACTGAAGGAGAAGCGCTATCAGTGGAGCAACCGCACTACAAACAGACGCTGGTGAAACAAGTCCTCCAACAGTAGATGAAATAGGCATGTATCTAGGAGTAGGCATGAACTG